CGCTGGCGGCAGCGGGCAAGGTGGCGGCGTCACAAAAACTACCTGTGGTGAAGGTCTGGAGCGGCCGTGGCTCAGGCGGCGGTGTCGCAGCTCTCCCCTCCGAGTAGGGGTGCCCTGGGTGCGGGTGCAGTGCCTCGCACTCAACCGCCAGGCCGACAAACCTGTGCTTTTAGGGCCTTATCCGCTACGGTGCCGGCTGCGTGGCTTGAAATAAGATGACACTGCTAAACCCTGCGTGTTCCTGTTTGTGTAAATGCTTGTCAATTTGAAAGGCGGAGGCGTTTTTCCTTTTGTTGTGGGACCTCTTACGTTTTTGGCTGATGGCAGTTTTCCTTACTAAAAATAACCGTACCTTCTGGTGTGTATTTTTCTGGAGCGTAGACATCGGGTTTTTTCGATGCCCTCTAGTGCGTTCCAGCAGCATGCAAGCCAGCGTTGTTGAGAATGCTCTCGTACTAGCATTTTATGAGAACTTATTTTCACTCGTGTTCATTTTCCCCAAATAATGCATGTATTTTATGAGCTGTTCAGGTGAAATTTACTGTATTGCAAGAGATTAACAGTAACTGTAGACTATTAAAAGCCAGTCCTGAGAATTTGCCTGATATGTTCTTGCTGCTGACTGTGTTTTTTCCCATTGTTTTCCTTTCACAGGAGACATTGGATTTAACCCGTAGAAAAGCCCCGTGCTTTGTGAAGTTCTCAGAGATGGAAAAAATGGCAAACATTCAAGCTGAAATCAATGAGGTACAGCCTTTACTGTTGTCAGCATACACTCAACACTTCAATGCTTAGAGATAATACATGGCACCTGATGAAGTATTGGACTGCCATGTGCTATTGTTTCATGTTTGGGGTTTTTTTTTAACAGTTCTGTTGTTTAACAGTTGGCACTTTTCCCCCAGTGGACTGAGTTGTCACAAAGAAAAGAACAAAATTATGAAACAAAAGGTTTCAGTACAACTGGAAATATGCAGCAGCCTGCATCTTTGACTGAAGTGTTACCTGAAGTTTTCTGAAGAAACTGAAGACAAATAAGAATTTGTAGTTGACTTCAATTCACAAAAATGTGTTTCTTTATAGGCAACTAGACCATTTTGTTGGTTAGCAAGAGGTAATCTCAGTCATTTCCTGCTGCCTGAATGGGCTGTTGGCTTGTATTTTATGATGATATTTTCTGAACATTTGCTCGCTGGTGAAAAAACACTGTTTAATAAGTTACACAATGTGGGCTCCAGCAGCTACAAAGCCTTACTGCAAAGCAGTGTGACAAATTCACCATTTACTTTTTTGGAGAATGAGTTAAACAGTTGGCGTGATCCTGTATTGACTGGCAGAATGAACAAACAGTTTCCAGCTCCCAATAAGGTGGCTGCTTAACCTTCTTTGCTGGAAGGTTTCACGTAGAAAGTACTCTCTCTGACAAATATTCAATATGCTATGAGTGAAGCATATTTTAGTCCTCGCCTCAGTGATCAAGAAAAGCAAAGCAACAGTTCTGTGTGTCTTGAGAGACTGATATGTCATCCTCTTCTGTACTTCCTTAGTCTTCTCTTGTCTAGCCAAAATGACCACAACTCTTTCAGCCACAGAGAGGTATCTGCTAGGAGTTTCACCTGAGAGAGCTTCTCCCACAGCTAAAAAAACCCAACACAACACAAACCAATCTTTGCCAGAAGGAGGAAACTTGGGGCTGTGCGAGTTTTTTAGTAGAATATAGACTATGAAACTGCTTTGTAGGAGATGTAAGTTTCTGTGTTAGGAATGAATTGCAGGATCTGTCTTTCCCAGCACAAATTCCCAATAAATCACCACATTGTTTAGTTCTTTTTAAACAGTCTTTTCCCATTGACCAAAAAAACCTTACCTAGTAGTAGAAGCACTCCAGAGAGCATGGTAACATGCTTTCATGCAAATACTCGCTCTGTTTCACATGCACACTCTCCCCCCTCCTCCTGCTTTCTCCCTTTCTACTTCCTCCCCCACCCCAAGAGAGTCAACAATACCTGGATAAGTATGTTAAAAATGCATTTTCATTTGATGTTATTGTTGTAGAAGAAACTGAAAACTGAAATTCTGCAATTGGAGAAGGAGACAGCAGACATTGCCCACCCTTTTTACTTAGGTAAGTGCGGTGTACCTTAGAAAAACCAAGAGTGTTAAATGACTTCATCAGGAGATTGTTTCATCTGAGTACATGACACTTCTAGAAGTTATTGCAGCTTTCTCCACTGGATAGCTTGTTAGAGGTGGCAGGTGTGTATTAGCCCCTGAAGAATGCTTCCATACTATTTGAACTTGCACCCTCTGCTGTCTCAGTAGAAGCTCCATACGTAACTCATTCTCCAAAAAAGTTGTGTGTGTGGTCAGCTCCCCAGGGTCAGTGGAGCATCAGGAGTTCAGACATCATCAGTAACCTGATTTGCTTCCCTTGGCCTGTGTGCTACTTTTCTAGTAACTCAATGTATTTCTGCTGCATCTGTATGCCCCTAAAATTACTTGGATTTTCATTTTAGCATGTTGGGAGCATATGTATTAATTTCTTTATTATTTTGCACTTTTCCCACTGTGATTTGATGGATGCTTAAAAACATTCTAGCTCACTACTGCTGTGTTAGGCTAGTGAAGTATATTGTAACACTGCATTACTATGGTATAGTTTAAGAAGTTGGTTTCATCTCAAAGATGGTTTGCTTAAAACTATAAATAATGTAAGATAATTAACAAAGCTGTATCTCTAGAAAGTAGGTATTATGACTTTGAGGTGCATGTTGATATTAAGTCCTATATGCTCCAACGAAAGTCATTCTGATAAATGATACCTTTCTTGAGTGTAAGCTGTCCAGTGCAATACAGACTTTTTCTTTCTGTATTTCTCCAGAAGAAATTTTGCTCTTGTTTTAGCAGGACAATAGTTTCAACTTTGCAATTTTATTTTATAGGCAAAAAATGTGAGATTTTGCAAGATATGAACAGACACTTGGAAGCTGTACTGAAAGAGAAGAGGGCTCTTAGGAAGAGGTTGATAAAGCCCAGATGTCAAGAGAGCCTGCCTATTGAGGCTACTTTCCACAAGTAGGCATATAGAAAATAATTGTTCTTTGTTTGCATGAGTTCAAATTAGTTTGAACTAATAGGCAGTAAAAAATCACATGCTTTCATTCACTTTTCCATTGAGAACAATAGAAATAACAAATGGTGGCAGAACCCCAGCCAACAGCTAGTAGTTTACTTATTGCTAAATTCATAGAAAGGTAATGATACATATTTTTATGAATATTTGCTTAGGTTACTGGTCTTCTGAAGATTACACAACAATTTGTGGTGTATTGTTTTAAACAGATATGTTAAATGCTTCATTCATTATACTTCTCCATAGGTATGAATTGTTACTTTAGCATTTGGTGGCTTCCACTGTGACTTGCTCAGAATAAGTGTGCGGATGATTCACAGACATCATAGTACATGTTTTAAAAATATAGTCCTTCTCATGGTCTAAAAATCTAGTCCAGTTACTGAAGAAGTGTGTATTCGCTTCTGTAATTCCTGTCCTACTTGTTGCTGAGAGTCAAAGAAAGAAGTGTAATTGCAGAGAAATTAACGAGATGGTTAGGAACTTGCATAAAGCTGGAGAAGAGGACTAAGAAAACCCACGGGGGAAAGAAATAGGAGCTTGGAAGTATTAAATCCTGATTTTTTTGCACAACTTTTGAGTAGAGGGCTCATTCTTGGTTGCAGGTATCTAGTAGAGTTGTTGACTGAGGCTGCGACTTTCATTGAGAATCTTGAAAGCCATTTGCAGACCTTAAGGACTGTCCCTCAGATACCAAACATCATGAAGAATATGGTGAGTAGCAAAAGAACTGAGCCTTCTGTCTCCTTCAGCATTAAGAATTCAATGCTGTTTTGTCGTTTAGGTTATTTTTATGTCCTGCTAGATTGGCAGGATGTATAGAGATGAAATCCAACTCTTTTCTGCTTCAGGACACTGCTTTGACAAAAACAGAGGTGCTCGTGATGGAGTTGGAGGAGCTGGCAGACGAAATATTGAAATGGGGAGAAGTGCAAAAAGAAGTGTATTCTGACAGCATCTGCAATACTGCTGAATTGGACTTTGGCTTATCTTTAACCTAACAAACTATTTTCCTCAAATAGGTTGGCCATTCAAAGAACTACCTTTCTACCACCTCAGGTGAAAACACAACGTAGTTGTGCTTTAATCCAGCGGGGACTTTGTAGATAGTTACATTTCTGTTCTTATGTAACAGTTCTCCAACTATTACCAAGGACAATGAGCAGTAGCTCATAGGAAGACAGACTACTGAGAAGACTGTTATGGAGTTCCTTTTTGAAATAGTTGGACAGGATTCCCTTGGAGCCTGTATTGTCAATGCAAGTTTGGTTTTATATTTCTTATGCACTTGCTAGAGTGTCTCTATTCATTTTTACAAGCCTCTTGGTAAAACACCGTGTTTTGTATGTTGCTATAAAACTTAATAAAAGCACTAGATTTCAAGAGCTTAGTTTCTTGGGTTTTACTTTGTTATAAAATCCTATAATTTAAAAGAACAGTGCAAAGTCTTAGGTCCCAGCTTATGCTTCCATAGGAGTTCCAATGAAGAAATTGAACTAGTTTTAAGTTACAGTTTATTAGGGCTATGATGTGGTTGTGTGGGAAAACAAGGAATGGACTCGGTGATACATGGCAGGCCTACTGATTTGCAAACCACATTTCTATGATAGCGATAAATATATTCTTCAGTCTCTTCTGTTGCTTGCCCTGTCTTCAGTGCCCCCTTTAGAATAAAACTCTTGTTCCATGAGTTTGACTGACAATTTAGCAAAAGCATTGATTGTTCCAGTTTGCAACCTTAGTGACTTTTATGTCATGAAAAGACTTGTAGGTAAAATGTCACTGGCAGGACATCTATAAACCAGGACAGTTGGTTGTCTTTGGAGGATGTCCAGTTCTGTATTCAGGATACAGAGCAAACTGGAAGTGCTGCAGATGTATTCCTTTCTACCGTTGTATCATTTATGTTACCTGAATTCATACATCCAACATGTTGATTTCTATTTCTGAAAATAAGCCCTTTATTTTTTGAAAGTAACCACTAGGTGGCTCAGTACCACACACATTTCACTGTAGTTTGACTTGCATAAAAACTTAAAGTAGAATTAAGGAAGAAATCGTTGGTTCTTTGTTGAGCACACTCTGGTCTGACCTACTTGTAATTGGTCTACTCTATATTTGAAATTTTCTGAGAATGCCATTTTAATCTTTGTAGACTACATCATTCTGCTGGGTGTGATGTCAAGGAGTATAGTGTAGCGATTCTCTAGTATACTGTGCAAGTGTAGCTGATGTTCCTTTTTCCTACTGTTGAGAAAAGAGAATAGAAACAACTTGGATTAAGTCAAGCAGAATGTCAACAGGTAGGATCTGAGAATATAAACTGGCAGTTGAGTCCCATAAACTTGAACAGGATCTTTGTGTGAACACTTGCTATGTGTCATTGCAGGATTTGAGTCTGAAGTCCCACATCACTGGCATTTCAGACGTGGAAATGAAGGTCTTCCACCCAGTTGCAGAGGAGGAGCTGGCATTTTTACTGAAAATGCTTTGCACAGTCTGAAACAGGAAGAAATAGAATCCAGACTTCTGGAACCATTGTCCTTTGCATCTATCACAGACTTAACCTCTCTCTCCTTGTCAGGTCAGGCAAATTAAAGCTGTTGTAATTTAATGCTTCCAGAAACAGGATGAAAACATTTCTAGTTTGTTCATTATAATTCCTTCAAGACAAATACGTGGTTTTGCCATATCCTAAAGAGTTGAGCATATTTTCTTCTTTTGCTGTATCCATTATTGGAGAGTTGACTGTGGAGATGGTAGAGTTTAGCTAATACCATTTGCCATTGACATAGCAGTTCACTTGTTAGTATGATTAGAGGGATAAATCTATTGAAGTGATTCACAGCTTGTAGGTATTCACTTTAGCATCTCCGTGGTGGGTCATGAATTGGGAGAAGTGTTGGGTCCAAAGGATCCATCCCCTTCTTCACTCTGGAAGGTTTCTGTGTTGTGGTGTCTTTTTCGTTTAGATTTAAGGTTTCTGGAGCTTAAGGCAAATTGTCTCATGAGGAGAACTATACCTAAAGTACAAATAAATAGTACCATTATAAGGCAATTTAAACGGAAGTTCTTTAAATGGACTGTAAAACACTCCGATATTATGATATCCAGATATAGCTTGGAGTTTCTCATTTTGAAATGCAAAACCAGAACAACTCCTGTTAAAAATTAGTACTGACATTGGCAAAAAACAAACAGGGATTGTCTGTTGAGCCTGGCATCTTGTTTACGCGTGCAGCCAGTGCTGCTTGTTTTCACATCTTTGCAATAATGTTGGTAGCTGACAGGGACAATGTTCTAAAAGCAACTTTTTTAAACTTGGTGGGTTTTGTCTTACTCTTAAGTGCAAAACCTTTATCAATGCAGCAGTTTGACACTGATTTCAATCACAGTCCTTCGGAAGTTTCAAAATTTTATTTTACACAATAAATACAACCCACGTAAAGAGTGGAGGTTTTCGAAGGGATTTAAAACACTTGAGAGCTTTCCTTTAGCACTAGTAAGGGAAGGATACTCACCTTCCTTACATTACTGTCAAATTAATTAAATGTGGAGTGCTTTGCACGTTAAACAGTGCTGGTTTTCCGATTGCCTGCAGGTTACTAGGAAAAGAAGTGTGGTCAAAGGTACGTAGTATTTGACAGGTTTTTTTTTTACTTCTGGAACAACTTGGTTTCTCTTGGGTGGTCCCTAGTGAGTACCTGCATGGCAGCAGCCATCTAAGCGGACTGTCGGCATTAAAGTCTGAAAGTAAAATCCGCGTGGTTATGCTGCTGCAGATGTGACTTTGGTGTGGCGCTGCCGGGGGAGCAGAGGGCTACGCGCGGCGATTTTTAGCGTGAAACCCCCGTCTCTTGGTCTGGAGGTGCCGCTCTCCCGGGCGGACCCGTTTTAGGCGGGAAAACGCCGGGCTGGGTGCTGGAGAGGCTGCGCCGCGCGGCTGCTGTGGGGAGAGGTTTTCCCGAAACCCCTCCTCTCCGCCCGGGGAGGTTTCCCTCCGCCCCCGCGGGGGCTGTGTGGGCCGGGCCGGGCCTGGCCGTCCCCTCCTCGCCCTC